AGCTCGTTGCAAAGCAACGAGTGGGTCTTCCTTCTTAGCGATAAGCAGAAAGTGAAATGTTTCAATTGTCAACTTTGCTACCATTCTTTATTTCTTTGCCTCAAATAGCAAAAACCTTTCCGGGTTAGAATAGGTCCTCAGTACCCCCTTGCTTGTTGTAAAAGGCGACTAAATGGGTGGTTCTTCGAATGAGACCGTATAAACCGAGGCCCCGTGTCACAGCAGGTGTTGCACAATAAAGATCCCTCCCTGCTCAAAGGCCATAAGTGCCAAGCATAGGCCTAAATTTGCAGCCCTTCACCGGCAATGGTGACGTCTCCATATAAGTGAAATATTCTGGAGAGGGATGTTAAACAGTAAACAATCAATCAATCAATTATACTGTAAAAATACAGATATTTACACACATTTATAACCTTAACTATTAGAACTGGTATGTCTTCTCTTGGAAACGAAAGACCTCAATACAGATGTTAACATGCAAGATCTGACACATACTTAAAAAGAATATTTATTCCAAACTAAAGATAGACTCTGTAACAAAATCTATTTCTCTTGAAAAACTGAAAGCAATTGATTTGTTCATATTTGTGGATTTATGTCTGTTTCTCAAATCAAAATTTAAATATGAATATTTAAAGTCAATATCATAAACTAAGACTGTTTCACATGAATGTTTCAATTTCATTATGCTGTTTATTCCTTGTCATCCCCCAACATATGCTCTTCTGGCAAATCTTGATCGTGCTTGGAATCAAAGAATGTGGGTGGATTAGGCGAGTCAAATGCCTACGCAAGGGCAGGTAAAATATTGATTTAAAAATTCTTGCAAATTCAACTTTTTGTTAAATTTGGGAGTAATATTTATAACCATATGCATACAGTAAAGATAAAACCTGAATCAAATGACTTACAAATTGATTGTAATTAACCCACCAAAATGGTAACGCCTTAGAAACCATAAAAATGATAGAAATGGAATGTTAAAACTGTGTTTTTTATATAGAGTGGGTCTTCGTACCATTTTTCCGTAAACAAATATTGAAAGGGTGTGGAAGGATGTATCTCTCACCATTTTCAAAAAAATGGTACGAAGACCCACTCTATATAAAAAAGTTAGTTTACCTAATTAAATTTCGGAATATATTCTCAAAAACTCCAAGTCCAATTGTGCGTTTGCTATATATATAGAACTGTTTGCTATTTAAAGGGCACTGTATGTGCGACTTCGTGGCTCAGTAGTCATAGCGGCGGTATTGAAGCACCTAATTATTTGTCGCGAGTGTTCGAATCACGATATTTTAAGTTCAGGTTGAAAGAATCTGGGTGGATTAGGCGAGTCATATGCCCACACGGATTTTGTCGCTCTGTAAGCATATCGGAAATTTCATAGTTGTACGATACGATTTACCTAAACATTTAAACTTTGTACAGTACCGTCCACATGACAATTTCTATATTTTTAAGCCTTGCTGTTATCGTTACAGTATTTTTTAACTTGATGCTTTTCATACTGTGTATTAATTGTTCTATCAAATATGTTTTCAGGGGTTAAGAGATGGTATGCTTTACCTTTCCTTTTAACTGTTTTCGTGCTGGTCTACCTATGATTATATACATTTCAATCGTGTTATGTAGTCTTGAACTGAATGCATTCAAAATATTATATACACTTGTGTCTTGAAAACTTGTTTATTATAGAAAATATATTAATTAATTGACCGTAAATAAATTCATCATCTTTTCTATTCATTTTGTTTTTAGTGAAAAAATATATTTATCTAAAGAATGTGGGTGGATTAGGCGAGTCAAATGCCTACGCAAGGGCAGGTAAAATATTGATTTAAAAATTCTTGCAAATTCAACTTTTTGTTAAATTTGGGAGTAATATTTATAACCATATGCATACAGTAAAGATAAAACCTGAATCAAATGACTTACAAATTGATTGTAATTAACCCACCAAAATGGTAACGCCTTAGAAACCATAAAAATGATAGAAATGGAATGTTAAAAACTGTGTTTTTTATATAGAGTGGGTCTTCGTACCATTTTTCCGTAAACAAATATTGAAAGGGTGTGGAAGGATGTATCTCTCACCATTTTCAAAAAAATGGTACGAAGACCCACTCTATATAAAAAAGTTAGTTTACCTAATTAAATTTCGGAACATATTCTCAAAAACTCCAAGTCCAATTGTGCGTTTGCTATATATATAGAACTGTTTGCTATTTAAAGGGCACTGTATGTGCGACTTCGTGGCTCAGTAGTCATAGCGGCGGTGTTGAAGCACCTAATTATTTGTCGCGAGTGTTCGAATCACGATATTTTAAGTTCAGGTTGAAATTTAGATAAATATATTTTTTCACTAAAAACAAAATGAATAGAAAAGATGATGAATTTATTTACGGTCAATTAATTAATATATTTTCTATAATAAACAAGTTTTCAAGACACAAGTGTATATAATATTTTGAATGCATTCAGTTCAAGACTACATAACACGATTGAAATGTATATAATCATGGGTAGACCAGCACGAAAACAGTTAAAAGAAAAGGTAAAACATACCATCTCTTAACCCCTGAAAACATATTTGATAGAACAATTAACACACAGTATGAAAAGCATCAAGTTAAAAAATACTGTAACGATAACAGCAAGGTTTAAAAATATAGAAATTGTCATGTGGACGGTACTGTACAAAGTTTAAATGTTTAGGTAAATCGTATCGTACAACTATGAAATTTCCGATATGCTTACAGAGCGACAAAATCCGTGTGGGCATATGACTCGCCTAATCCACCCAGATTCTTTCAGTACTCTGATGACAGTCACACCTATCAAAAAGAAATTGAAATTTTTTATTGAATTTTTTTTTTAAAAAGTGCAACTTATACACTGTTATAAGATAAGATAAACCATCAAACTGAGTTCAAAGATACTGTCACATTTTCCGGTAGTCTATAATTATTTAAAAATATAGGTTTACAGGGAGTCATTTGAGGATGTTATAAAATAACATATTAGTTTTTCATGATTTCAAATAAAGAAAATGTACATTACTTGTTCATATCAAAATTTATCAGGAATGGTAATGGTTAACAGTTGTTAACCGACTAATTAGCCAAAAAGATGGTATCCAGTTATGATTTTTTTATGTGTCAGAATAAGTCCATTCGTAAAGGTGTTACAGCAATGAAGAACAATGCGCTAATGAAGTGACAAAATGCTATTGCATAAGGAACAAAGAGCTAGCGCAAAGTAACAACGTGGCTCTAGCTCATTTATAACACCATGCTAGTAAGTTTATGACAACATTCTGGCCAGTTTAAGACACTTACAAGGTAGCATGAAGTAAAAATGTGCTACAACACTTATGACGATGGTCTAGTGTGTTTATGACAACACAATGACAATGTACTTGTGCATTGTAACAATGTTGCAGCAGGCTTTTACACCACACAGTCAAGATTACATGTAATAGATTGTGTAAAGCTGTGTTGGCATGGCAGCATATTTTGTGTCAGCACAACTGCATGTTATTTTAAGTTGCCTTAGCCTGTGTAAGCACATTGTTCCTAAACATGCTGAAGCACTTTTACAATTATCCTTATCTGGACACCATAATTTTCATAACCAACTAGCCATGTTTTTTTGTAAAAGTACATGTACCAGGGTACATGTAAATCATTTTTTTTCATTTAGATTTCCACATGTTTTAAAAAGACAAGGAATAAAATTATATTTTCTATAAGCTTCTATTCATTATAAGTGTTTGCCAAAGCATTTTTGTCCCCCGCTTGAAAAGTGGGGGATATTAATTTGGGTTTGTCCGTCCGTCCGTCCGTCTTTCGTTTCCACACGATATCTCGAGAACCCTTTGCGCTTTTGCAATGAAATTTAGCATAGCAACTCCCTATGGACTAAAGCAGACCCCTATTGATTTTGAGGTCAAAAGGTCAAAGGTCAAGGTCATAAATAAGCAAATTCTGTCTGTTAAAACACTTTCGTTTCCACACGATATCTCTAGAACCATTTGAGCTATTGCAATGAAATTTTATATAACAACTCCCTGTGGCCTAATGAAGAGGTCAAAAGGTCAAAGTTCAAGGTCGTAAATTTATCATTCTGTCTGTGTGTAATACTATTATTTCCGGGCGATATTTCAAGAAGATTTTGAGCTTATGCAATGTAATTTTATATCAAAACTCCCTAGGACGTCCCTCGCCCCTCTAAAAGTCCCGTTTGTTTTATTAGTATTTATAGTATTACATGTCGCTATTTTTAGCGCAGGGGCATGAGGAGAGTTATTGCGTATAAAACAGGTTCTCGGCGGACTTTATGTTCTTATTACATCTATTAAAACTGTTTAATAAAGGCTAAATAAATCAAACACCAAGGGTTGTGTAAAATTTTGAGAATACTGAACATGAAAACATGAATATATACATTTATGTGACTTCACTTCTGCATATACTTCACACTACATAAAGTGATTCCGTGGTCTAGTGGTTATGTCTCTCGCTTCCAGTGTGAGAGGTCCCGGGATCGAATCTCGGTCGAACCTTTCTTTTTTTTTTTAAATACTTTTTTTTTACTAAATGATAGTATTCAGCATGTGAAATGAAAAATTTATGAGGTTATAAAATCATCATTACAGTGTGATAAAAATTCCATATTAAAAATATCTTCTATACACATAATGAACAATAAGCAATCAAATCTTTATATGCATATTGACATACATGTATTTTATTTGCTTCAGTATACATATATACATTTAATAATTCTACAAATTCAGTCAGGGGGAGCCGACTTTTTCCCTAAGCGGGGGACACGAATTCTCTGAATTAGCTTGTTTCCTATATAACCAAAATACATCTTTGTCTTTATGGTAGCCTAGTGGTAGGGCATTCCCTTTATATAATCCTGAAGTTTAGCTTGATTTCTAGCCGGACTCATTGCTACGAAGTTCAACAGGAAATGCTGCTTCATCACTGATGCTTAATCAAATTTACACATTAAAATATAGTACATTTGTGCAATCAAATTTGAGGCAATACAAACACTGATTACAGAATTAAATTTTCAAAATTATCGGAAATTGTCAAAAAATAATTATAATAATGTACTTTCTACAGTCTTCTTCGATTAATTATTTGTTTAAAATATGCAAAAGGTTTTCATCAGGTATCGATGTGTGCGCCATATTCTATAAATAAAGGTTGTATTGTCAGTCTAACACAAATGTGGTAAACATCATTAATTACTTGATGTACGCTTTGATGCAAATTCTCAGCTGAGGACACATCAGTGCATAATCGTTTGACCTTAAATAATCTTGCTGCATTAGTGTTTATTTATTTCTGTTGGTATATAAATCCCTGAAACCGCCTCAAACGATACATGTGATGAATATTTTATGCTGTTAAATTCTATAATAATTTTATTTAATTTTAAAACTTTTTAATACTATATATATGCCATAGAGATATTTTTGTGGATAACATATCCTCTCAATGTCTGAATTTGTTTTTAAACTCTCATCACGGTCTTTGTTCATTACCCTGTAAATGAGCCCAGCTTTCAGTACTTCTGAGTACTTTGATTATTCACTGCATCAAACCTAAGACAAAAACATGATGCAGTAATGTTACTTAACCATGCACCCAGCATTTGAAGTGAATGAGACCTTAAGAACCTCATAGTACATGTTAGGACAATGTCACTGAGTTCCAAATAAAGGTCTAAATAAAAACTATTTACCGGTATATATTAACACCTCTAAATGAGCGAAGGAGTGAAAATTCTCAAATAACATTACCAATCAAAGTACCAATAAGAAGCTGATTCTTACATCACAGGTTCCAATCCCATTGCTAAATGCTTCAGACGGGTTACTCCAATGAGACCGCATACAACGAGATTCAGTGTCAAAAGGATCCCTTACTTCTCAAAGGCAATAAGTGCTGAGTACAAGTCTATATTTGCAGCTTACTATCCCAAGTGGTGGCATCATCAAATGACTTGAAAATGTTTGATAGGCCAATAATCAAACAAACCATTCCTGCAGTCATCTAAAAATAAGCAAACTTTCTATTATTATGTTCCCCAAACGAAGTTGGGGAACATATTGTTTTTACTCTGTTTCTTATTATTATTATTAGGTCTTTCCACCTTTCTGTGGAAAGACCTATTGAAATTGTTCTGTTTATTATTATTATTTTTCCGCCAAACGTGTTTTTGAGTTTCAAGATTTATCGAAAAGATTTATAGACCATAAGAATGTACTTCGTAAATGATTTTCGCAGTTGACCCTGCGTATATGAACTTTGACTCTTAAAGGAGTTATTGCCCCTTTTGCAAGAAATGCTTGTTATCGCTACTCCTCTGAAACCGTAAACCGCAGAGATTCCAAACCTTTATTAATGTCTGCGACTACTTGAAAGGATCTTCGGATCTATTCATTGCGAAAGGATTCGTAGACCCCTACTGTGAGTTTTTGCCCCTGAAAGTTTTTGAATTTTACAAATAATGAAAAATTTTTAAAACGAGAAGTTGTAGAGACATGGGACCAACTGCACAAGATTCATTGACCTTTGTCCTTAAAATTTATGCAAAGGTCAAAGGTCAAGGTCATTCCAAAAATGAGAAATTAAGGTCTTTTTATATCTCTTTTGTTTTTCAACGTATACTTAAAGTCTTTGCAACATTAATATGCCCTCTTAAAACTATTTGAAAGATTTCATTCTTGTCCCCTAACATTAAATCTTTTAAAAGTTATTGCCCCTTATGCAAGAAATGATTGTTATCGCTACTCCTCCGAAACCATAAACCGCAGAGGTTTGAAACCTTTACCAATGTCTGCGACTACTTGAGAGGACCTTCAGATCTATTCATTGCGAAAGGATTCGTAGACCCCTTCTATGAATTATTGCCCCTGAAATTTTTGAATTTTATAAATAATGAAAAATTTTCAAAACGACAAGTCGTAAAGACATGGGACCAACTGCATAAGATTCATTGACCTTTGACCTTAAAATGCATGTAAAGGTCATGGGTCAAGGTCATTCCAAAAATGAAAAATTTAACATTTTTTATATCTCTTTTGTCTCTCAACATATACTAAATATCTATGCATCAGTAATATGGAACCAACTGCAAAAGATTCATTGACCTTTGACCTTAAAATCTAGGTCAAGGTCAAAGGTCAAGGTCATTCAAAATATGTAAAATTAAGCATTTTTTTATAGCTCTTTTGTTCTTAACCAAATTCTAAACATCTTTGCAGCTTCAATATGTACTCTTGAAACCATTTCAGAGATTTCATTCGTGTCCCCTAAGATTGACCCCTCTAAAAGTTAGTGCCCCCTTCAGTGAAAACCCTTGTTATCGCTACTCCTCCGAAACCGTTAACCGCAGAAGTACGAAACCTTCAACAATGTCTGCGACTAATTAAGTACACTTTCCAATCTATTCAGAACAAAGAATTCGTAAACCATGTAAGAAGTTATTGCCCCTGACAGTTTATGATGTTTACGAAGAACTTAAAACTTCTTAACGACAAGTCGTAAAGACATGTGGCCAAGTGTATGAGATATTTTGCCCTTTGACCTTGAATTTAAGGTCAAAGGTCAAGGTGATTGAAAAAAGTATGAAATTGCTTATACATGTTTATTTTTACAAAATGAATTTGACCTTTGACATTTGTAGCTGACCTTGACCTTTGACCTTGACCCTTACTCAAGAGTTTATAACATATTTATTATTTATATAGCTTTGATCTAGCTTCAAGTGGTAAACTCATGTTCATGAGAGTTTTTTTTTTTTTGATGACCTTGACCTTTGACCTTGATACCATCAAATTTATCAAATATCCTTATAAAACTGTTTTCAAATGTTTCACTGTACCCGTCAAGCCTGGCGTATAAAAAAGTTCTTCCTCCTTGTGAGAAAAGCCTTCATATCTTTACGCATTCAAAACCATTGACCGTAGCGATGCGAAACCTTAAACAGTGTCTTCGACAACTTTAAAAACTTTTACCCTCAAATTTAGGTCAAGGTCAAAGGTCAAGGTCCTTCAAAACACATATTATTAGGTCTTTCCACCTTTCTGTGGAAAGATCTCTTGAAATGCTTATGATTATTAGGTCTTTCCACCTTTCTGTGGAAAGACCTCTTGAAATGCTTATTAGGTCTTTCCACCTTTCTGTGGAAAGACCTATTGATTTTCTTCTGTTTCTTATTATTATTCTTCTTCCGCTGATTTTTTATTTCGACATTTATCGAAAAGACTTTTTGTTCATCTTAAAGGTCATTAGAAGTTATGAACAAATTTGACCCAACGCGTATGAACTATGACCGCTTTCGAAGTTAATGCCCCTTTCGCAAGAAATGCTTGTTATCGCTACTCTTCCGAAACCATAAACCGTAGAGATATGAAACTTTCATCAATGTCTTCGACTACTTAAGGGGACTCTGGAATCTATTCATTGCGAAAGTATTCGGTTACCCCTTCATTGAGTTATAGCCCCTTAAACTTTTTGAATTTTACAAATAATTTAAAATTTTCAAAACGACAAGTCATAGAGACATGGGACCAACTGCATAAGATTCATTGACCTTTGACCTTCAAATTCATGTAAAGGTCAAAGGTCAAGGTCATTCCAAAAATGAGAAATTAAGCTCTTTTTATATCTCTTTTGTCTTTTAACGTATACTGAATGTCTATGCATCAATAATATGTACTATTAAAACTGTTTCAAGGATTTTATTTTTGTTCCCTAACATTAACCCCTTTAAAAGTTATTGCCCTTTGTGCTAAAAACCTTGTTATCACTACTCCTCCGAAACCGTAGTCCGTAGAGACACCAGACCTTCACTAATGTCTTAAGGGTCTTTAGGCCTAAGTAAGCTGTATAAGTGCGAAAGGATCTGATGCCCCTTTATATGAGTTATTGCCCTTTAACTTCTTTGTATATACTTTTAAGACTCATAACTTGAAAACTATTAATGGTAGAAACATCGGGTCAATTGTATTGTGACCCTTGACCTTGAATATTTTATCAAGGTCAAAGGTCAAGGTCATTCCATTTTTTAAAAAAATTTTCATTTATTAAATGCTTTAAGATGATTTTGGTTTCTTTTTCATGGAATTTAATTTTAAAGTTGTCAGATATAAAACAATTTGAAATTCTAAGAAGGTGGAAAGACCTCTTATTGTTCTTTGAACAATAAGTCTCCTAGTTATTATTATTATTATTATTATTTTTCTTCTTCCTGGGAAAATTTTCTCCACGAGTGATCTTGTAAACTACACATTGGACTAAGGTAAAATGTTTTTAGGGTCAGTAGACATGTTATGTAGATTTGCCCAATGAAGGTCATTTTGCACACACGTGCTTGCAAGAACACGCACATGCAACACGTGAAATGACCAATAGAATGTATATTGCCGTAACTTTTCTATTTTTTATAACATGTTTTGAAACTCATAATGTAAGGATATATTAGTAGTATAGACAAGATGGCATGGTCAAAATAGCAAGACCCCACGCGCATGCACGTGCGCTTAGCTCTGATTGGCTGAAACTAAAGTCTCAATATCTTTCTTGTTTCTTGTCATAATCATTTGAAATTTTGAATATAGTCCTACATTATGAAGATCTACAGCATGATATATAAAAATTTTCATGAAAGCATGCGCATGCGCGCGTGCTGCAATCTGATTGGGTGAAACCTTAAATGGCTATATCTCCGTTGTTTTTGGATGAAATGCTTTAAAATTTTAAACATAGTCATGCATTAGGATATCATACAATATGTTATAGAAAAAAATTCATGAAATCACGCGCATGCACGTGTGCTGCAATCTGATTGGCTGAAACTTTAAATGGCTATATCTCCTTTGATTTTAGACGAAATGTTTGGAATTTTGAAATATAGTTATTCATTAAGATAACCTTTAATATGATAAAGATAAAAATTCATGAAATCACGTGCATGCATGTGTGCTGCAATCTGATTGGCTGAAACTTCAAAGGGCTATAATCCCTTGTTTTTCAACCAAACAGGATGGGATTTAGAACATAGATAAATATAAGGGACTCCTACAAGAAGGTTATTCATCATGCACGTGTTCGCACGTGTGTGCACGTGAAATGAGTTAAATTCAAAATACACTTGAGTGAGAGCAATTTTTAATACTTTTGGAATAAATGCTTTGATATTAAGTATATATATATATATATATAGTGTAGACAAGATAATACGGTCGTTACGCACATGAACACGCGTGCAATGCATAAATTTAAATATATTTTGCATTCTTCTGGGAAGACCTTGATTAAGTCTAAATTCCATAAAGTATTTCTTATTTAATAGACATTACAGGGAATATGGCACCAAAAGGGAGTTGGGGAGCGTTTGGGGAACATCTGTAACGGTCCCCGTTACAATTAGCACTAGTTACAATTGTTTTTACAAATTTCTTTTGAGATTTAACTGAGCAACAATTGTGCAATTTTTTGTCAATAAATTTTGATACGAAAGACTTTGTTTGAACAGCTATTTATAGCAATTACAGACAACAGCACGAAGCGCTGCTCATAATGCAAGCTCTCATGACAACGCTTTGGTGAAGAGAAAATTATCACTTGCTTATTGATCCACACAATTTCTTTTCCGCAGTAACTTTGGACCCACAGTGCTTTAATTCTTTAAGCTACATTCTTGCAAGAATTGATCAAAAGTTTCCAAAAAAAATAAATTCACCTTGATTTAATGGATAAATTGCAGATAAATAGTGGGGGAAAAAATTCTTCATTAAAGTCAGCACTATTCAAGATTTAGACTGGTAATGTAGGCCTAACTTACACCACGACATCGTGCGACTTCAAAGTCTAGTGCCCTGTTCACACGGAGAGTTTAATTCGCAGTAAATGACTGCAAAGTAAACTAATGCGAATCAAACTAATGGGAATAAAACTGTGTTAACATGACATCTAATGCGAATTAAACAAATGCGAATAAAAATTTTAACAGTCACACCGTCAACATATTGTTACGGTGTATATTCAACAAATAATAGAGAGGTTGAGATTTCAAACGTGTACGTGTACGGGTACGTCTAGTAGGGTAATAACCTAAATTCTGTGTGTATTACGTCATCAATTTTAGTGACGTCAAGATTGCTACAAGTTCTTAAAACTTGTAGAATGGAATCTACACGTAAGTGAAAACGTGTAGCTTTAATAATAAAAATTAGCCAATTTAAGTGTGAAAATGTGATTGTTATGCATTATATAGGATGTTTACTTTCACGAGCACTTATTTTCATCAAGTTTTGTTTACTAATGGACGACAAAAAACCTTCTAAATAGTTGAAACAGAGACACCGTTCGCGGTGTACACGTACATGTTACATGTCTAAAAAAAATCTCAACAGACAAATTTTAAAAAAACGTGTACGCGTACAAGTTTAAGATCTCAACCTCTCTATTAAGTGTAGTGTAAATTACCCCTCCATGGTTACTGCGGTATTGCTCTTTTGCAGGGCAAAATAATAACGTTTGGCAAAGTTTTTGTTGAGAGATAATTAAATGACGTATATTTAACAATTACTTATATGTCATATTTCACCAAACTATATCATTTTGCCCTGCAAGAGAGCAGTATACCGCAGTTACCGTGAAACGGTCTATAAGAGTATCACTATGATGGATAGTGGAGTGTTGAATTTTTTGTTTTGAAAGTGAGTCTTGTTGAAATTAAATGCTCACATATATTTAAATAAAAAATGAAAAGCTGTTGGGATTTTAAAATGCTAACAGAAAGCGTCTGAGCCTTAAAACAGATAATGTATCGGTGTGTCTGTGTATTTTTAAAAATATCAATGCTCTAAGCTGCCAAAGTAATTTAAATTTTAGGTAAAATAAATTTCTAACCTTCATTCCGATAGTCCATGCCAATCAAACTTTAAAATGTCACCGTCGACTCTTTCATCACTCGATACATTTATCACTGGGAACCACGAACCAGAGTCAAGAGTGCTCAGCTTGTAAATTTAACAGTCGGAATTTCCTCGTAAACAATTCACACAAAAAATTATAAATCGGATAATTCTGCTGAAAATAATGCTCCAGACGATTGAGAAAGTACTTCGTAGCTGCAGATTAAATGTGCGTGCATGTCTACATACGGCCTGTGGCTTGTGTGGTAAGAAATGCTCAACTTCACGATTTCCAACTTTCAGTTTGTAAACATGTGTCCGACTTTTGGGACACACTAATAACCGGATATACGAGACCTGATATTTACCTGATGTTTTTATTTTAGATTAAATGACAATATTGAGTACTTCAAATGACTTATTTAAATACTTTATGACTATGATGCAAAATGCTATACAAAAATTCGTTTGTTTGGAATATTTACTGACGATTTTGAATCAGGTCAAATAAGGTTTTTAGTATATCAGGTCTTTAGTACCTTCCCATTTCCCACAATGCCGCGCGTTGTTAAACAAGAGGCCCCGAAAAGACTTCCTCTTAACTAATGCAGAAATATTTTGATTTTACCTATTGTTGTATACAACATCACATTATATTTATTATTTGAATAAAAAGAAAACAGAGAAACACCGAATCAAAATAATATCTTTCAGATGCATCGATCAACTAAAACTATGCAAGAGGCCCAGCAAAGGCTTGGCTATAGTAGACAACTTGTTCCTGTAAGGTTTCTCACATACTTGTTTTATAAAAAAGTATTAAATATAGCTTGAAGTTTATTTCTCTTCATATCAAACGACAAGATTTAATCAGTTCGAAATTATTTCAGTCAAACTTTTTCCTAATAAACCAATATTTTTAGCTAACAGAAAAAAACGTGTATGAGTTATTAACCCCTTATTATAGGGGACAACCCCTTTTCCTTGATCTTATATGAAAGCTCTTGTAATTATGCACAACTTTTGTTATATATCTTATACCAAATTATTCTCGGTTCAAAAGTTATTATACAAAAAGAAGCAAAATTTCATGGAAAAAAAATTACTTAAATTTGCCGTCACATAGCTTCCGATCTTTAGGAAATCAGCTTATAATTTTATCGTTATGCACATCTACAATGTATTGGCTACAAGTTCTCCAACTTTCATGTTATTATCATAAGTCGTTCTTGAGTTTATTAGTGGAAACGAGACATCAAAATTATCAATTAAAGGGCAATAACTCACAAAGTAAGGCATGTATCAAAAAATTGAAAGCAGATGTAAATAGGTGTTAATACAAGGTATCTAACCTGAAAGTTTCATAAAAATCAGTTCAAAGGTCTTTGAAAAATCGCCTGTCAAAAATCCGGCGGGAAAAAAAGCAAATAATAATAAGAAACAGTAGAATAACAGTAGGGTCTTCCGAAGGAAGCTCGGAAGACCCTAAATAGATGATTTTATGATTGAAGTTAATGACTAAGTCTAGTGTGTTGTTTTTTTGTCAGTTTTCGAATCACATATACAGACTGACAGACTCTCAGTTCGTGATTATTGGCTGAACTTTTCATTGTATTTTGGAGAGAATCGAAAAAAAAAACTTTTTTACTGAGTGGAAAGTTTGTCAAAAACCAATATTTATATACAGTGAAAAGCATCATTTAAATATTATTTAATTTATTTAATATTAAAGAAATATTTCTGTAAAAATCGAAAGGAACAGTAATGAGAAAGATAATTGATTTCTTCATAATTCATGTACCAGTGCAAATAGCTACAATTTTTGGAAAAGATAATACTTGTCTTAACCATTTGAGCAGGAAGAAGCTTACCGAAGATAGGACCTTTCAAGTGAAGGAGAGTAAGGAAAGTGGTTGGGGTATTCCAGGGCCTTTCAAGTGAAGGAGAGTAAGGAAAGTGGTTGGGGTATTCCAGGGCCTTTCAAGTGAAGGAGAGTAAGGAAAGTGGTTGGGGTATTCCATGACGTGAAGAATCATGTGGGGAATTCAAGGTATTAAAGATAATCTAACAGCCACCAGTATGGTCTAAATATTAGTATTCACACTTTCAAAGCTTAATGCTAGTAGATCTAGTACTAAGAAAGAATTCGACATAATTCAATTTGAGGATATTTCCACATGAACAGTTTTAAATATTGTCATCAATAATTTTAATTGTAGATATTGAGCATTTATTCCCACAAGAAGAAGCATTTGCAGGGTACCATGGACGTATGGCAATATAAATCCAAAGGACAACTGAGGCCTAGTTTTAAAGCCACTTTCCTGCACATTCAGTCTTAGACTACATTGTTTGCTAACAATAGGACTCAAACTGATTTACATACTAAGGAAAATTAATCTTAGGTGTCATATCAATTAAATGCTCATATTACTTGATTGTAATGTTTTTAATGTACTGAATAGGTTAATTTGAATAAATTCGCAATTGTTTGAAAATTTTGTTTGTTTATTTTTCCCCCCTCCCTCGTAGGTTTTGAACTTTAGATGTGACGTTAAGCGTAGAACTAATTTTAAACAGCCTTAGTACTTGCACTACTCTTCCCTCACAAAGTTTTCTTTTATAAAGTGAAACGGCCATAGTGAATTCAAGAAACTGAATGTCTTATTTGATAAATTCCTGAGTTTATATACTGTTTTTACATAACTTGTCTCTATGGCTAAGAGAACAACTTTATTTGTTAAAACTTGCCCCTACTTTGTACATTACTAGCTGTTATGCTTCAAGACTGATAAAAATATTTTGTGTCTTTTTTTCTGTCTATACTTCGATACATTATGTACACAATGGGAAGAACAATGACTAGACGGATTAATTACTTCACAAAACCCCCCCAGATGTTTGCATGTAATTAAGGAGAGTGTGTCTCTTAGTAAATAAAATCGGGAAAGGAAGAAAGAAAACATTTATACTTAGTTTTAAAGATTTAATTTTGTTTTTTTTCTCAAATTGTACACTGTGGAGTTGACAGATTAAATATTTACATTCGGCACATTTATAAACTTTAGAGATACTGATTGTCTTATATACAGTTTCGGGCATCTTAAAATGTGAGGCGGTTTGGTCTAAAAATTTCCCATCATTTTGACTGAATAGATTACGGATAGATAATTATTAGAACCGATTGCACTACAAAATCATTTCTCTAAATTGTTACTGAACATATATACATAAATTGCAGTTTTCTACGTATTCACCACTTGTTAAATACATTGTAATGTCCTTTTTGGCGATGTTCTAATAGAATGTTTTCCGTCAGAATGTTTCTGTTTTGCTCAATTACGCGAGCAGAGAATTTTATCAGTCTTGCGTCTTCATATGTATGCTTGTAGATGTCGCATGCAAGTAAATGCGCTAACACAAATATCTCGAATTCAGTAGTCCATGTGCCGATTTTCTCCATTTCTGTGATTTGTAAATACTCATTTACAGTAGTAAAGTCCGATCGTAGAATTTCTTTAAATTGATCCTTATTTTGAAGTGCATGTTGAACGACTTTCTTTCTGAGATTATCATGATTGTCTTCTGTATTACTTATAGCATACGAAACAGCTCTAAAAAAACAATTCCCGTCTTCTTGTTTAATGTGGATTCCATGAATGTCCGAATCTTGATAAATCAGAATATTTAGTGTCTTGCATATATTTTCTTTTTCTTCCCTGGTTAAATGTACAGGACTTGGAGGATTTTACAAAGACATTATAATTACATCTTCTTCCTCTGCATCTTCAGTGTCAATCCATATCTACTTCATAAGTGTATGATTTCAATGAATGATACAATGCGATATTTCACTATTTTACAAGCATAAATTTGATTGTTAAGTAACCAATAAAGCGTCTTTAAAGATTCGGATTTCAAGTCTTATGTAACGCCGAATTGTGTAGTAACGGCTTAAATTGTTGAATAATATGTTTTATTTGAATAGTAGATTTTAATGTTTAGTCTGATCATTTAGTATGTTTATTTTTTAGTTTACCCATCTCAGACAGGATAGAGAGATCCGTTTTCGTGTCTGTTTTTAGTTAATCCATCAAGCACATCCGTCGAGGGTATAAAAATCTGCTTTCGTGTCTATTTTTAGTTTACCCATCAAGCACATCTGGCGAGGGTAGAGAGATCTTTTTTTCGTGTCTATTTTTAGTTTACCCATCAAACACATCCGGTGAGGGTAGAGAGATCTGCTTTCGTGTCTATTTTTAGTTCACCATAAAGTAGTAAGTTTTTAGCTCACCTGAGCCGAAGGCTCAAGTGAGCTTTTCTGATCACATTTTGTCCGGCGTCCGTCTGTCTGTCCGTCTGTCTGTCTGTCCGTAAACTTTTCACATTTTCGACTTCTTCTCAAGAACCGCTGGGCCAATTTCAACCAAACTTGCCACAAAGCATCCTTGGATGAAGGGGATTCAAGTTTGTTCAAATGAAGGGCCACGCCCCTTTCCAAGGGGAGATAATTATGAATTAGAGAAAAATTAATGGCATGTTTTAAAAAATCTTCTTCTCAAGAACCACTTGGCCAGGAAAGATGAAACTCATGTGGATTCATCCTCAGGTAGTGTAGATTCAAGTTTGTTCAAATCATGACCCCCGGGGCTAGGGTGGGGCCAAAATGGCCGACCCAAGTTTTACATAGGAATATATTAAAAAAAATCCTTAAAAATCTTCTTCTCAAGAACCACTGGGCCAGGAAAAATGAAACTCATGTGGAATCATCATCAGGTAGTGTAGATTCAAGTTTGTTCAAATCATGACCCTCCGGGCTAGGGTGGGGCCAAAATGGCTGCCCAATTTTTACATAGGAATATAAAGGAAAAATCTTTAAAAATCTTCTTCTCAGGAACCCTTAGGCCAGGAAAGATGAAACTAATGTGGAATCATCCTCAGGTAGTGTAGATTCAAGTTTGTTCAAATCATGACCCCAAGAGCTAGGGTGGGGCCAAAATGGCCGACCCAAGTTTTACATAGGAATATATAGGAAATATCTTAAAAATCTTCTTCTCCACAACCACTGGGCCAGGAAAGATGAAACTCATGTGGAATCATCTTCAGGTAGTGTAGATTCAAGTTTGTTCAAATCATGACCCCCAGGGCTAGGGAGGGGCCAAAATGGCTGACCCAAGTTTTACATAGGAATATAAAGGAAAAATCTTTAAAAATCTTCTTCTCAAGAACCACTGGGCCAGGAAAGATAAAACTCATGTGGAATCCTCAGGTAGTGTAGATTCAAGTTTGTTCAAATCATGACCCCCGGGGCTAGGGTGGGGCCAAAATGGCCGACCCAAGTTTTACATACGAATATATAGGAAAAATCTTTAAAAATCTTCTTCTCAAGAACCACTGGGCCAGGAAAGATGAAACTCATGTGGAATCATCTTCAGGTAGTGTAGATTCAAGTTTGTACAAATCATGACCCCCGGGGCTAGGGTGGGGCCAAAATGGCCGACCCAAGTTTTACATAGGGATTTACAGGGAAACCTTTTAAAATCATCTTTTCAAGT